AGCAACGATGTCACTCCATAATCTCCAAACAATCCCTGTGATTGAACATTGAAGAGATCAGATGGAATGTTATCCGTCTGAGACGACCCAGGACCGACACGGGACGACGATAAATCAGCCCAAGGCGACATGAGGAGTAGTTTGCCGGGGGGAGGAAGGGAGGGTATTGGGTTCTCCACGAGGTGGCGTACTAACGCCAGGGCGATGTTTCCGCCGGCCGAATCACCCATCACAATGACATTCTCCGGTTCGAATTCGCACTCCCGGATGAGGAATTGGTATGCAGCTAGGGCGTCTACGACGGCTGTTGGGAAGGGGTTTTTGGGAGGGTTGGGGTACGAGGCGGCGAGACGGTAGTCAGCGGCGAATGTACGCCTCAGTACGGTTGAATGCTGAAGGAGGCCACGAGTGATACTGGCTGTGAGGTCCGAAGGATGGCCACTGCCAATCTATGAGACGTATACTTAGTGAGTATTGGCTTCGGGAAGGAAATCATATGATTTGTAAGCTCACATAAAATAACCCTCCGTGCAAATGCAGCAGAGTTTTCTCCTTGGGTCGCGCTCTCCATCCATCGTCCAACCTCATTCCCTTCTTCAAAAGCCAGTATCCTGGCAGCCGAGACGATACAACTTTGGCTTGATCAGCCGCCCTTCTGACCTCGCCGCAAAAAACGTCATCCGCAAGCTCATTGACCCATACAAACTTCGCATCTGTCAACTCGTTGTCTGGCACTTCCTTCGTGGGATCTCGGCCTTGGATGGGGTTCACCTCATTTAGCGCAACGAAAATCCGTAAGGCTTCAACGGCCAGGCATCGCTTTAGGGTCCAAGTCCTCCGAGGTCTGTTTCCAGGATTGAGATAGTAGAGGATCCAAATCGGGAGTCTAAAGAACACGAGGGTGAATACGAGGTACGTCAGATATATGCCCTTGAATGGCTGGTGGTGCAAGACTTTGACCATAGCCGTAAGTATAGAGAGTGAGGAAGGAACTGGCAGACACCGATGGGAGAGAAAGCCGACTTACCACTCCATATATCTGTAGGGATACGGACGGAGTCATCCCAATACCTCCTCCCCCGACTCAGACTCAGTATGACTGCAGTGCCGACGGTGTGCACCTCATAAATAGGTACAGGATAGAGTCAAGGTGCGTTGTTCGCGGGGACGGGATTCACGGGCCGGGATCACAATCCCCTCCATATGAATAACGTTAAGAAAATGGCTGTTTGCGAGGTACAACATATTGCGTAGTACACCAGTAGTCCGACGATAAACAACCAAGACTCTATCACATCACTAATAGGACTACAAATTGAGTTCTTCGTCACAGCACACGTCCTGTCGCGTACCGCATTATAGGATCGAATCTGCCTCACCAATATCATCACTCACCGCAGCGACCGGATTAGGCGCACGTCCTGCACGTTCCAAAGAACCATCAACCAGCTCATACGCCGGCCTATACCTCGACGCGTCCTTTGACCGTTCAGACTTCGCGACGCACCCACAAGACTCTGAGTAACACGTGGTGGATGGGTCGTCAAGCACCCTGACAAGGCCATTACTGAGAGGTGGAGAGGAAGTGTCCGCAGGGCAGATGGCTGTTGGGTCGACCGACAGAGTGACCAGCTCTGCCTTGTGAGGCAAAGGGGCAGGAGGAACGACCGCTCCTCCTCCACATTGAGCAGTTGGGTCTGCGGCAAGTATTTGGAGGGTGGTGGCATGAGGGAGGGGAGGTAAGGAGTTGGAGTTGGAGTCTCCCCCGCACTGAGCCGTAGGGTCAGCGGAGAGGGTGATGAGAGTGGCCGCATGGGGAAGGGGATCCAATGAGGTCGTAGCACATGAAGGTTGAATGAGGAGTGCTGGATTCGGGAAGGTGTTGTAGGTGGACCCCACTGAAGTATACCTGGTCGAGAAATGTGTTTTAAAACGTTGCCCTGCGGATTTGAGATCTGGACTTACCCTTCGTCGTACAGGCAACAATAAGGCACTTTGAGCTTCCGCAAAAATGTCCAGATATCGGCGTATTCCCAGTTGATAATAGGGTGAACTCGTTCAAAGCGAGGCCACCCGGGATCTGTTAGATTCTTGAAAGCAAGTTTCTCTAAGGTGGATAGTGAGCCGAGAGGACGAGAAGAATGAATGAGCAACACGAACCTCCGTGTGGATCGCTTCGTCGTGTGCCGACCATGATGGCTTGCACCTCAGGGAATTTCTCCTTGTACGACTCCAAAGCTCTTCTCATCCCTTCGCCGCCCTTGGCTTTGCCAACGGGACCAGAACCATTTGCTTGAGCGACGTAATCAGGTGCGCCGTTGACGAGGCGTGGAGTTGCGACGCTCTCTACTGGAAGACTTGGTGTTGAAGGTGGTGGTGAATGGAAAAGGTTAAGGTTGTATGCTTTGGCAGATTGTTCGATGAAACATTCGAGTTCGGAGAAGGGTGAGGGGACCGGGATATATATGGCGCAGATTTGTTTGGGGGAAGATGAGGCCGCTGTTCGTCGGGCTACAGCAGCCGCATAGAGATGGAGAACCACAGTACCTGGTTGAAGAACGATCAACATCAGCATTTGAGGATCGGAACTGCAATCGCAATGGACGAGAACTACTCCAACAGGGCCGGAAGCCCCAGGTGGGCTTCGATCCCGACCAACCCTTCATCTTGGTGCAACCTCTATCTCGCAACAACTACTCCCGGAGAACGGAAATCTCGACTCACAATCTTTGCCACCATTGAAGCTTAGCGAAACGTGCTCGTGCCTTCATAAACCGACGCAAATCATCGTCATTCCAATTTCTCCCAAGCCAAATGAGCTCTAGACCCACCCATGGGTGTCCAACGATTCGTCTATGACCTGCAAAGCCTCCTTCACAAGAGGTGCAATCGGTTCTGAAGATTCTGCGAGCCCGTACACGTCTCTTGCGATGGTTTTCGTGTCCATACCGATGGTCGTGGAGTGGAAGAGAGATGTGAGAATCACCCGAGAAGGCTGTCGGTGGTGGCGTGGAGTCAGCAGTGCCCAAGTGAAAGTTCTGCGGAGACAACGAACGTGGTGCATAACCGTCGCAGACGCAATCGTCAGTGATCAGGACTCAATTACTTAGAATTCCTGCTTTGGGTGTTTAGAGGAGACTTTGAACCGGGATGTGCCTTCCTTCCTAGTTTCCACCATACCATATCGCTACCTTGGCGAGATTGAGTATAAATACTTGTTGATCAGCCACTTGCGACCGCCCGGCTTCTGCTCTATCGTCGAATCTTCGAGCTCATCGGTTGAACCCTACGATGGCATCAAGCGTTATCCTGGTGACTGGAGGCACTGGTTTGGTTGGAAGCGCCATCAAGCATGTTATCGAGACTGAGCCGGAAGGTAGCAGGTTTGGCAAGAGGCCAGGGGAGACTTGGATCTTTGCAAGCTCATCTGAGGGAGATCTGAGGTGAGTTATCGACCACCCAGTCCAGCTAGTAATCCCTTGCGATGATTATCCATGAAGGGATCCTGTTGCAGCCCGTAAACTGTTCGACAAGTACAAGCCCACCCATGTTATCCATTTGGCAGCACTTGGTGTGTCCTGATATCATTCCCTATACTCCAATTACAGCTAACAAGCTTGAATGCAGTCGGAGGCCTGTTCAGGAACATGAAATACAAGGTCAGATTCGTTCTTTTTCTGGGTATATGCGTTGTGCTCATCGCATCTCCAGCTGACTTTCCTGCGAGATAACCTCCTTATCAACGACAACGTTCTACACACATCTTATCTCACTCAAACCCAAAAAGTCATCTCGTGCCTCTCAACCTGTGTCTTCCCCGACAAGGTGTCATATCCTTTGGACGAAGACAAGATCCACTTGGGCTTGCCCCACGAGAGTAACTTTGGGTATGCTCACTCGAAGCGTCTGGTGGACGTGATGAATCAGTGAGTTGTCGTATTCTCTTGTATTCTGGATGGATGTCAAATATCCACCTGCCTCCTCGTAGCGCCTACAAGGAGGAGTTCGGATGCAACTTCACATCCGCCATCCCCACGAACATCTTCGGTCCCAACGACAACTTGTAAGTTCCAACCTAATTCCGCTTATCGAGCATATGGTGAAACCTCGGCGCATACAGTGACCTTGAAGACTCGCACGTCATCCCTGGCTTGATCCACAAGTGCTATCTTGCCAAGAGTGAGTGGATTGTCGCCCAGTTTACGACCCGTCTAACACATTCGCTAGAGAACGGCACACCGTTCGTCGTCTCGGGTACTGGCAAGCCTCTCCGCCAGTTCATCTATTCCTATGATCTCGCCAAGATGTTCATCTGGATGTTGAGGGAATACGATGACGTCGAGCCAATCATTCTGTCCGGTTCGTGTTCACCTGGGCCTCCTGCTTACCCTATCACTCATTCATTTGCCACTAGTCGGCGAAGACGAGGAAGTTAGCATCAAACAAGTCGCTGACGCCATCGTCAAGGCTATGGGCTTCAAAGGAGAATACACCGTTCGTACCTGACATCTCTACGTCACCATACTGAGCAGCCAACTAAAACCGGTACAGTTCGACACCACTCGCGCTGATGGGCAGTACCGCAAGCCTGCTTCCAACGCCAAGTTGCTGAAGTTGATGGGTGGGTTCGAGTTCACTCCGTTCGATACTGGTTCGTCTTTCGAGTCACCTAAAACGATCTTTCTCTGATGTGATGTTTTCGTAGCTTTGAATGATACCGTGAAATGGTTTGTGGAGAGTTACGACAAGGCCAGGACTGGGAAAAAGTCGGCCTGAGTAAATGAGCCCGTTGTTAACTCGTTGTATTGTGGACTGAGTTGAGGACGCTAGACTGTAGTACTTAGGAATGAACATTCGAATGGTTGAAACGAACATTGAACAAACATCTACCTTCTCCAGCGTTGAGACCTAGTTGATAGGACGGGGGAGTTACTCCATACTGTCAAAAATGTGCCGGACTTGAGCGCCGTTAGAGAAAAATAGTCAAAAATATTATCCTCTACCGACAGTGGGGATCGAACCCACAATCTTTCGCTTAAGGGTACGTGCTCAGCGCACTACAAATACCTAGGAAGCGAACGCCTTGCCATTTGGCCATGCCGGCGTTGTAGAACGTTCGCCTCTTTACAATATGAGGCATCGTCGAATGGCAAGAACTATACTCTGCCCCATCGACATGAATATTCCTCGTTGAACATCCCTTGACGGATTTGGCCCGTTAGCAAAGTGGCGGACCTAGGTTATGTGCATATATGCACAATTCTGAGCTCATAATTGACAAAAGTAGTTCAATCTAAGTGATGACGTACCAATTTACAGGCGTCTTGGGATATCAACCTTAGTGATATCTTGATGTAGGCAGTGAGCAGCCGAGTCGTGTTGACAGGCCGCGGTTGTGTTGCTTCGTGGTGGTTTTGGTAGAGTTTGACAGTGAGTATATTAGTATAGACATCCATAGGATTGCAAAACTCTCAAGGTAGAGGATGTAAAATATTGAACGGCGAGAGTCGCGAGCTGGATCATGGAGGTGGAGATGAGGTCACTTCAAACTCCGCCAAGCGCGACTGTGATCGCCAACACGTCTGTCACGGTAAGTGACATCGCGACAATATGCTGCCTCCCCAATGCCTCCCTACCCCTCCGTCTTCCTGTTGCCAACATACGCAGAGTCCTTTGGGATCCCAAGTCCAGCCCATGGAAATATCTGCCAATTAGTTTCCTCACGGAATCCTTGTTGTGCTGAGGAGATCTCTCCTCCGAGTCGACACCCTCAGACTTGTGCACATGTGACGACGTGCGGTCGATTAGAAACACCCTTTTCTGGAAATAATTCCTGAAAATATCTGCTTGTGTATGCCCTATTGCTCTCAAACAGTCCCAAGCCGATGATTCTCAGTTGTGACTTTTGGGTTCTCGTCGTTTGGTTGGTGGCCACCTCCGAAAAACCAAATTCATGTTGAGCCAACATGCCTCATCCTCCACGTCATGGTGTTTGGAATTGAAGTAGTGCGCAGGTGGCCGTAAGCCCCACAGTGACTGGATTGTCCGCAATCAGACTGCGGATGATCAGTAAGTTACTCCCTCGTTTTTTAGGAATAAGTGGGTTTCTCACTAGATGTGAGTCAGTTTGCTTCTCGCAGTCCATCGAGAGCCTCAGATCATTCTACCTTACCCAGAGTCTCGTCCAACCAAAACCTCGATACACCATGTCCATTGGGATAGCCCAGTTTCTCAAGCCATTTTCGGTCTCATGATTGTGTGACATCTTAGAAAGTGCCCCGTCCTTCTAACTCGTCTATTCCCACAGGTTCAACTATTGGCAGGACTTAGGATGACGATACATCCACTGGTTTAAGTCCACACCTTCTTAGACATCTTCTGACAACATATGGCCCAAAAATAGAAGAAGGGTTGCGAGGCTCGCTTCCCGGGCAGCTCAGTGGGTATGGTCATATCCGAGTCTTAAAGTCCCCTTGCCAATACGAATGGAGTTCCAGGTAATGGAACCAGCAGGGTGCGTCATCATTCCTCATTGCTATGCCCCACACAAACATTTAACTGGTTCCAGGGTTTCGAATGATGTAAAGTTCCTGCTGGGCCAGGCGAAGCTCCCTCACCTGCCTCGCTTCTTCAGGGATTGAATACCCAATCTTGGCTTGACGAATATCAAATCTTTCGACAATGCCTTCCGACTCTCCAGAACCGCAAATGAGCTTCCCCGTCCTCCTGTGTGCGCGGATAAATTCACTCAGACCGCCACCATACTCCGAAGATATTCGACGCATTGAGCGGTGAGGCGTTCAAGGGAAGCTAACAAGTTTAGACAAAAATGCATACATCGAAGGTTCCGACGCTGTGACTTACAGGTCGTCAACTGGCCCACCAACCGACCCTTTTCGGGTTGTCCTCCTGTAGGATACTGGTTAGGATCCAGTCCACCCGGTCACCGGGAGTTCTTAGAGTTAGTCTTGGCACGTCATCTCCCCACAGACCCACCTCCCCTCTATCCGTTCTTCGCTATTGAGTTGAATCCCTCAATTTCCATACGGACGCCGCTCAACCCGTTGGTCACAATGGAGGCTGATCACCCTCATTTGTCGATGTAGCTCGAGCTCGAGCGACTTCCCCGCTAGAGTGGGTACTAACTGGCGTTCACCTGACTTCGGGGGACCCCAACGCTGCCGAGAGGTATTCAAACCAATTCCAATATGCTTGACTTGACCAACCTGCTGACCTCATTTATTGGTGAATAGGCTACGCTGAATACACTGGAAGTCTGTGGGAAGATTGATGCCGTGGCTGTTCTGTACCAGCGGAAACTTGTAGCCTATCATGTCGGCGTTAATTGTGATCCGGATCGAGAGGACGAAAATACTCTGACCCGTAGGCCCTCTCGAAAACGGCGTCTTCGAGGTGCACACAATCATCTGTGGTGAGTCCGTTGGGTGTTTATTATTCGTGTTCCACAATGACTCGGGGCCCTGGAGGTTGTGGTGTGAAGGGACACGTTATCTCCGTCATCTGCTCTTCGTCTGGACACATTAATTTCTCTGACTCTAGTCTCGCTCTCTCGGACATTTCCGTTCAAATCGACTGTATAACCGAGACGCGCACCCCTCCGTGGGCAGAAAGGGATCCTCCGTCAACCCGTCGAAGTCACGATTGGTCAGCCGCGAGCCTCAGCAGACGCGGTATATATGGTCGGACATATCCGCCGAACCTTCAGAAGCACGGGACGGTGAAGCGGAATAGACTTGGGAAGCGCTGAAATGTCCACCAACCACTCTCGAGGTGCCAGCACGGATGGCAGCGACCCTCGCAGACACTCACACGCTGTCCAATATCCTTCTCAACCGGCGGTTTAACCACCACACGCTGAGCTCCTGAGCTTCTTTATATGCCGGGCTCGGTTTCCCGACGATCTCTTCTTTCTTTCCGCGCCCTCCTGTTTTTCTTCATCCAACCGGAACTTGATTTTCCACCTTGACGAAACTCTCGGCACGGAATGGTGTGGGGAATCTGTGTGAGTCTTCGAATTTACGAGATCCGCCAACGTGTCCCCGTACTGGGGCTTATGGAGGAGTGGTGACACAGTCTCATGGAGCGGAAGAGATACCTTGCGTCGCGGGATGCCCTTCTGTCTGTCCTCCACCGGACGACATCATCTTCCTTCGGTTTTGGTGATCCCATTCCCTCAGGCTGGGGGCTTCTTCGCTCGTGTCCGTTTCCTCTGAGTTTCTGAAGCTATCCCATGCCCGTGTAAGGCATCCTCTGGGTGGGATGGCTAACCAGCCAACACACTGCATCTTCTGTATTGGCTGGTTTAGGGCGTTGGGCGCATAGGGGTCCTAGGGTCTAATAAGGGATTTCACAAGCCAACTTGAACCTTGATTATAGTAATCTGATCCCGCCACCTAAACCTAATCAATGCCCTTCCCCACCCCCTCGCGCTGTCGTACAACGGACACGCTCGGGACTCACAGCAACAAGGCCATGTCCACGTCTCGCCAGATCCGGAATGTCAGCTGCAATTCATCAGTCATCATCTGCCGCCTCGTTTCCCATACGTAGCGTCTTGGCCTGTGCTGCTTCGGCGTGTTCGTGTTACCACACGGATGCCTCGCGGGCAACTCGCGGGCGATGAATTTAAAGTGCAAGCAGGTATCGTTATCCTCTATCTCAAAACCACCCCAAGAATAACTCGGCGCGTCAGTCCTTCGATTACCCCCTTGTTTGTCGACACCCCAGCTGCAAGATGTCAGATACCTGCACGATGCCAGATACAGTCGCGTCGCCAGGAGAGTCGGGTGTTTCGATGGCACCTTTCGACCACCCCAAGGCAGATATCATCCTCCGTTCTTCTGATGGAGTCGATTTTAGAATGTTCAAGCTCCTCCTCTCGCTCTCCTCGCCTTTTTTCGACTCCATGTTCGAGTTGCCACAACCTTGCGAAGATGTTCTACCCTTGCTTGATGTAACCGAGCCAAGCACTACCCTCCGCCCACTCCTATCACTCTGCTTCCCTCTCGCTGCCAACATCACACCAATAACATTCAAAACTCTAGAAGAACTCCAACCAGTCCTAGAAGCATCTGTCAAATATGACATGTCAGCCATAACGACTCACCTCCTCACGCACCTCATTTCGCCAACTTTTCTCCAAACTCAACCATTAGCCGTATACGCCATCGCGTGTCGTTACAAACTCACACCCCAAGCTCGACTTGCAGCTAAAGCCACTCTTCGACAACCACCTCCCGGATCTCCATTATGTCCATTCACGAATCATCTCGATAATATCCCCGCGACTTCCCTCTTCCGTCTCCTCGAATATCGTCACCGATGTACCGAGATTGCATCTTCGGTCCCTTTTGGCACGAAATGGATGCCATTGACGTATGTGTGGTTCAACTGTAGTCATTGTCCACCTGGGAAGAGGCTGAGGAGTTGGGCATGGGAAGGTGATGATGATTTTGAATGTCGGTATCCGAGGCAATGGTGGGAGGAGTTTATGGAGGTTGCCAGTGGGGAACTTGGAAAGAGACCTTGTGGAGAGACTGTTACTGGTCCTCCCCCGAGTTCGAGTTCAAGTGATGGGGAGGCAGAAGGGGTGGATGGGAGTGTGGGAAATGGGTTTACGTATCTTGGTGCCAGGGGCAGCGAGGTTGGTAATGGTAGTGGAATGCCGGTTTGGGTCAAGAGGTTCGTTGCGAGAGCTATGGAGTGTCCGACTTGTCGAACGAATGTGCAAGATGATATGAGGAGGTTCTTGAAGCTGTTTGAGAGGCAGGTTGATAGAGCGGTGGGAATTGTGCGTGTTTTCTCTCCTTGTCGTTGATTTGGAATGAAAAACTGATGGTATTCTTTCTTTTTTTGCGATAGGTCGAACTCAAGGTGGATTTCTGAGCTCGACACGACCCATAAGTATCCAGCCTCGAGGTCGAACGCCTTGTGCTCCAGTGCTCCTGGAGTACTTATTATTGCTCAGGAAAGCATTATGGAGAATGGGAGGCTCCCCTCAATTGTAGCTGACACCCAACCGTTCATCGTCACCCATCCCACTATCATCCACTCCCTCGACGGGTTCAGAGTCGGAGTCGTTAA